TCCTAACGAGTGTGAAACCAGACTGTTTCTTGGAGGCAAGGATTCTGAAGCTTTGTCTGACATACTTTGGACATGTTGCAAGGAGGGACCAGTCCTCGGAGAGGGACATCATGCTTGGGAGGGTGGAAGGACAGAGAAAGAAGAAAGACCAAGACCACCAAAGAGATGGATTGATTCAGCAACTGGGGTAATGAGGGTAGGTGTGTCAGAGAATAAAGTTGGCACAGGAGAGAGCAGGTTTCAGGGCTATTGAATATAGGGCCACTATATGAGTCCCAAATGACTACGGCAAGTAAACACGAGTTCTTGTGCAAGGAGCAGTGGGTTGATTGTTGAGCTGTTAACCAAAAGGTCAGTGGCTCAAATCCACCATCTACTCTGAGGGAGAAAAATTAGGCAAGTCTTTTCCTGTTATGATTTATCACCTTGGTAACCAGATGTGGCAGTTCTACTCCATGGTATTTGATGATATTGAGTTTTAATTTTACAAGTCACTTTGTGTTTTATGGTCTTTTTAATTACTCCCCATGCATCTCAACGTTGGACAGTGAATGAAGATGACAGAAGATGAATCAGTGCCTTTGAGTTGTGGTTTTGCACAAGAGTTACTGGACTACTAACTAAAGAAAAAGTACAAGGAGGGGACTCCTTGGAGGCAAGGATGGTGAAACTTCATCTCACAGACTTTGGACATGTTTTTAGAAGAAGGCCAGTCCTTGGAAAAAGACATCATTCTTGGAGACGTGGAGGATCAATGTAAAAAGAGCAAGGGCCACATGGGGATGGCCACAGCTGACCTCTACTAACTCCACAGAGGTGACTGTCCTCATCGGCAGCACCCATAACACTAAATTCCCATAAGCTCAGACAGGTTCCCCACGACTCTACACCTACTTGTCCCAATACAAATCTTACTGCTCTGCTGGGTCCGAAATCCATCGTAATAGCTCACAGACCATACCAAACCATATTAGGGAAGTCAAAAGACTCTAATTGAGCTTGGGGGCAGATACACTCAGCCAGGACAGCTTCCAAAATGTTCTCTCTCTCCTCTGTCTCTCACACACACACACCCCTCAGCCTTGAGTCTCAGATTTTGCCAAGTGTTACAATGTTCTTGCTGTTGGTGTGTGTTGTCAAGTTAGAACCAACCCAGAGTTGACTCTCCAGCAGGTTTTCAGAGGCAATTACTTCAAGGGAGGGGACTGTCCATCCTTCTCCCTTGGAGCAGTTAGTGGATTCAAACTGTGTGCCTTTGAGATTGCAGCACAGCTTCTTACCACTAGCCCTCTGCCCCCGAGCTCCTACAAAGCTCTTAATCCTGCCGATTATGGCTCTCCCCCTCTTCTAAAACGCTTGGCTGTTACCTCTGGTTCTATGGGGAAGCAGTCCCCAGATGAGCGCATCTCACGTTGGGTCTCTGGTTCTCTCCTGCGGCTGCTGTTGCTCTGCAGGTCTGGCTGGTGCAGGAAGCTCTGCCCTGAAGAAGGCATTACGTTCACCTGCTGCTGCTTTGCTGGTGGTGAGATCCTCAAATGTGCTGCTGAATCTGCTCAGTTTAGTTGTGAGACTGGCCAATTCACCCATTCGTATATCCCTACCCACCCACATGGCAGAGTCGAAGTCAATGGTTAGGAAAGGCATTTTGAATAATCTGTAACACCACAGTGAGCAAAAGGGAGGAGGCTGCTCAATGAGATGGACTGACGTAACAGTGGGCTCAAGTATACCCCAGATGATGAGGACGGCACAGGACGGGGCAGGGCCCAGACCCGTCGTTCACAGGATGTTAAAAGTCTCTTCACTCCACGGCACCTAACAGCAACGTGCATTTTCCGGCACCCCACCTCCAAAACCAGCTTCTGGATCTGCTTACTGTGACTGACATTCAGCCAATAGTTGTGAGAAGGACCAAAAACGAATATTCTAAAGGCTCTTTTGATAATAAGATCATGTTTTAATTGCTCATGACAGACACATCACATAATGGCTCAAAATTAATAATCTGGTAAAGATAAAAGAAAAACACTGAAAAGGAGTTTAGGAATTCTTAATCTGTAGTAAGCGTGTGGCTAGAGTCAGGGGTACAGCTGTCTCCAAATCCAGTCTCAGAGCAAGCACCCATCTCCTGTCTTGTATTCAGTTTGCTGCGATGTGACGTTCAGGCCAGCAGATGCCCCAGGGGCTCAGGTGACAGCGTTTCACCAGCAGAATGTCATTTCCTCTGCACTGTGGTGAAAGCCGGCATTTGGATGGGCGGCATCGGGTGCGCAGGCTGGAACACCGGCTTCTTTCTCATCTCAGAGAGAGTTTTCACCGCAGGGAGCAGTTGATTCCTTTTGATGATCTGTAAGGCCAGCTGAGTATTACCTACAAAAATGCCTCTCGTTAAAAAAAGGGAAAATGGACGTGACAATACTCGCCACCTCAAAGCAAGCTATCAGGGTCCTAGCCCTACGAGACAATACCCCCTCACCACCCCATAGCAAGGCATAAGGGTCCCAGCAGGACAGGGAAAAGATGACATGGAAGAGCTACTACTGCCTGTAACCTTGGCCGTGCCTGGAAACCATGCTGTACTGCCTCTGCCCCTCCCCAGATCCTGATTTACGTACTGCGGGTCTTTAAAAGCTCCCAGGTGCTCTGAACATACGTCAGACACAGCGGGGAGAGCTGGTGGCTTGGTGGTAAAGAGTTGTACTGCCAGTGCAGAATTACGCAGTTCGAATCCACCAGCTGCTCCACTGGAGAGCTGTACGGCCTCTGGAAACCCACTGTGGGGTCAGCGATGGGCTGCTTCTGACTCACCAGTAAATAACAACAACAAATAGAGAGTGGTGTGGAGGACGGACATTACCCCTGAGCTCACCTTTCAGGAGGCCAAGGTTACTCTGAACTCCTCGTAAACTGTGCCCTTGGTAAGAGTTCCCCCGATCAACAAGGAGGTGAGACTTCGAGTTCCTGACCATTTCTGTGCCTTTTTTCCCTGACTGACAACTCTCCCAAGTGTCACAGGGGCTCTTATTTAGATCCACAACCTTTCTATTAGGCTGCACTTGAGATGCCCGGAGCCATGGCATGGATTTAGGTCTAGGTAAAGAATTCTTAGCAAGAACTAGTTTACTGTAGAACTCATTGATGTTATTTAAAAAAACAAAACCCAACTCAAAACAACTGACATTCTAAGTCAGGGTCTCAAGAGTCATGTGGCTGCTAAGAGAAAGGCTAATTAGTAGGGATTATTAAGAACTGTCACAAATTATGCAATTCTGCCATTTCACAGATTAAAGGAAATACGCTTAAACCGTAAGAAGCAGAGTCTTAAGCGGAGACGTGGTGTCGTCCTGAGCAGAGAACTCACCATTCTGCAGCTCAAGGTACACCGCCAGCAGGATGGCCTCCGGGGGCACCTCTTTAGGATGGATCATCGAGGCTGCCTTTGTTTAAAACAGAAAGAAACCAATGAAGAGGAGACCACCACTAGCTTACCAATGCCGATGTGACACACAGACAGGTTCAGGCCGTACAGTTCTAGGAGCCCGAGCATCACGGGGCCAACAGGAAGGTTCAAATTGATCTGTAGCCCTAGTGGCTTCGTGGTAAGAAGCTGCACTGCCATCCCAAAGGCATGGGGTTTGAATCCATCAGCTTGCTCTGTGGGAGAAGGATGGGCAGTCGCTTCCCATGGAATTTACTGCCTCTGAAAACCCTCTGGAGGGTCAGTTTTTAGTTGGTTCTGACTCAACAACACAAACGACAACATAATGAGGTGCAGCCTTTGACAGGCTATGAGAGAGCTCCAGCCTGCCCTATAGAGTGGCTCTGAGTACCTGACACCACAAAACGTGACCCCTAACCATGGTTCTTCCCACAGATAACGTGCCCACACCTATAAAATGGGGAAATGATGAAAGCTGGCGTGGCAGCTCCGGCGTGGCACCTGGCACGGACCAGGTGTGCTCTGCGACCTCCCACAAGCACATTTCTCCCCCATTCGGCGTCTTCCATGTTATAGAGAGATACTGTTCTGCTCACCTCCTTTAACATTCTACTTTCAGATGTAACAGTATGAAATGTTACACTGGTCATAATTCTAATGTCAGAGGCTTAAACCACAGTCAAGAAGTTATAGCTAGAGTATGGCTGCCCCCTGGTAATCATAACAGAAACAATTATTACTATTACTCTTCATTGTTGGTAATGATACCTATTTGAAGTTTCCATGTGCTTAGAAATAGAAATTGTACTTGGAAATACACATCCTAAAAACTGACAAAGTGTGCTTATGAGAAGAACATGAGTGTGAAGTGATAAGGTTTGGCGAGGTTGGCAAAACAAAACAAAATGAAGTTGAATGTGTTACTGTTGTAAAACTGACCGTTGTGAGGTGATGGTGTTCAGCTACCTTTCTTTTAAGCTACAGATAAAATTCATAGTCCAGGCCTTCCCTTTGCAAATCCATAATGTGTTCTGAATAGTAACAGTTTACTTCGTCTTGTGGTTTTCACCTCCTTGGGGTCCTTATTCTACCCCGTGGCTGTTTGGTCTGAAATGACGTATCATTGCAGGCCTCGTTCTATAACCCAGTCCTCTGTGGAGGGACAGCTGTGTTTATATCCATATTTGTAACTGTTTTCCCAACTCACACCACTGTAAGCTGCATCACGCCCACGTCAGAAAGGTGAATTCAAACGTAAAAGGTTGGTGAGAAAAAAACCGTTAGTGACCTCCTCTCTAAGGACAGAAACATAATACAGGTTAGTCCAAGAGAAGAATTCATTCCTGTAGGCTGCATGCTGCCTCCCCCAGCTGGAAGAACCACAGCTCCAGCCAGCAGCCCCGATCAGATCCTGAGGAGAGACACGTACGAGAGAGATCAGTGCTGACAGCATTAGAAAGTGTCACACGAGGGGGACTCCGGCCAGAGCCCATGCGCCCAAGAGGCCCCTGCTGAAGAAGGGGAGGATTTAGTCCTCTTACCACATCACTGAGTTCAGAAATGAGCTTTTATATTTTTAAGGCCTCGCTTTACATAGGAAAGGTCATCTTTATCCCATTCCATAGATAATAAAAATCTCCATTTCACGCCAAGTGGCCCATGAACATAAGACTTCTTACACTGTTCTCTGACAACACGGTCTCTGAAGACAGCACCTTTCTAAGCCCTGCCAGCTCTCTGCCTCCTGGCTGTTCCGGACGGTTACCACAGTCAGGCAACTGGGGGACATTTACCCGGAGCCCTCTCCAACCCTCCACATCACAGTTCAGCCCTCCCAGGCAGAGCCAGCTTCCCAATTAACAAAGGTCCAGCCACTGGATTAACCTAAAATCCAAAGGACCAAAACAAACCCCCCTCGGGCCCCGAACAGGCCTGACCCCATCTACCGTCTCCGTGTGGCAGCTGCAGGCCACCTGCTGCACGAGGACCTGCACAGACCTACATGCCTGGGTGGAGGTTGAAGTCTGGAGGCTGCAGCGTTGGGAGCCCGCAGCAGCTCAGGAGGGCGGTCAACACCCTGACCAGCCATGGGGAGACGGACTTAATGCCCACCTGCTTCACCTGGGCCACTGGTGTGAGTCTCCCTGGACAGCTGGTCACCTAATTAATTTTTCTGTTAAGGTGACAAAATATCACTTATGGTTACTTTCCACATGGTCAAGCTAAAAAAACCTCAACCCACTGCCGTCGGGTCAGAACCAACTCATAGTTGACCCTCCCCCAGGTGTTCAGAGGGTGTAAATCACTGCCCATCTTCCCCTAGAAACAGCTGGTGGATTCGAACTGCCTAACCCACGAGGCCACCAGAGCGCCTTATTATTTCTGGGCACAAGGTCACCTTCACAGGTGAGAAAATCCTGGAAGCCTCCACGTCTCCTGAGAGTTGGTGACCTGGAGGAATGTTGGGACACGGGCTGTCTGATGTGTGGCTGGTGAATACACCATCTGGCAAATATTTCTGTGTCAGGGACTTAATGTTAAAATCCTGCAGAGTGTCTGCCTGTCCAGTTTCCCTTTTAGGATGATGTCTGTCTGTGTGGTTCGTGTCTGCTATGCACTGTCTTACCTACAGCTTAGCACAGACTCAGGTGCACAGCAGCTGTCTGCTCTGTGAACATCGCTCTGGGTACCACCCTCTTCCAGGTCTGGGGAACCCCATCGGGGGCTGCCACTGTGATGCCTGGTCTACTACTAGGGACAAGGATGGCCTGTTATGGATTAAGTTGTACCCTCCACATTTTGTGTTTAAATTTGACCTGGAGCAATTTTATTTGGGAACCTACTTCCTTGTTAAATTAATGAAGTAACATCAGTGTCTGGTTTCACTTTTGAGATTATAAAAAGAGCATGAATGAGGGGATGAGGAATGACCTGCAGAAATCTGTACGGAATGCCAAGGGGAAACCAGAGAAGCTGGAACAGAACTGTGGTGGAGGGTGGACAGAGAGAGCCTTCCCCTCGAGGTGGTGACCAGAATGCTGACTTCCAGGCTTCTAAACTGTGAGAAGATAGATCTCTCTGATAAAGCTCCCACCTGTGGGCATCTGCAGCACTAAGGACCCAAGAGAGTTCTGGGGCCGGGTGCGTGACCCCGAGCCCCCGAGCGGGATCTCCTTTATGATGGGAGACAGATGGCACCCCCAGCAGTGGAGCCCACGCTGAAGGGGGCTCAGAGATTCCCCAACTTACTAACTAGTTAATGTCTAAGTTTCTGCCATTTGCCAGAAAAGTTCCATCTGACTCATACAGAAGAAATCAGCAAACTACACAAAAGCCATCTCTAAGAGGGGTTCCTGCAGCACGTAGAGTCAAGTATTTAAAAAGCAAACCAAACCAACCACCTAATAAACGAAAGGGAAAGACGGAAGGAGGTAAGCAAGAGGGAGGAGGGAGGGAGGAAGGAGGACCTGCAAACAACGCGGAAGGGCTGACTTGTGAAGCTCGACTCCGGGCTCCACGTGTGACCCGAGAGAAGGCTCCCACCGCTACGTAACAAAGGCAAAGCCAGACCAACCACTATCACCACGTCAGTTCTGACTCCAAGTGGTCCTGTCAACGAAAGGCACGGCACACACATATACACACATAAGTCATTTTTCCGTTTTGACTTGTGGGAGGCTATCTGCAGAAAGCTGAAAACTCTTTCAGAAAGACAGGTTCAGAAAGCCAGTCCTGGGGAACCTACACACAGTGCAGAGAGGTGACAGAGACTCAGGTACTGTGCACCCTGAGAGGGTGCATCGCCCAGGAATCCAGTCAGGAACACAATTAGCAGGGAAGGAGGGTGCGGACTTGAGGCTGGGAAGTGGGCAGGTCTGGGCCCTGGCATTCAGAGGCGGCTCAGCGTCAGGATCACGGGACACTCGGCCCTAACTGTGGTCATGGGGTCTGCTCATCCCCAGAGAACGTTTCTGTGCAGCTCTGTTGGCACTGCCAGTGAATACCGCACACACGCAGCAGGACAGTGTGATACGGACCCTCGGACTTGGATGGACTGACGTCTTCCCCTTTGGTTTGTGTATGTGCTCAGTGCCAGCAACTCAGACCAAGTACACACTCTACTCACACAGAAATCCCTCAACTAACTCAGAACCGTCTGCTCCGAGATAATCACTGTCCTCTATTATAAAGGAAGTATAGCTTAATTTATTAAACTCGCCAGGAAAAGTGTCAAGGTTCCTTTCCAACTGGGCTGGTTGAATACCCTTGAACTTGGAAGAGCCCCAATCCAGTGCTGAACAGGCTGACCAGAAGCCTCAAAGCAACAAGAAGTACCAAGGCCAAGCCCTTACCTGGTGGAGGCACTTCCGTGCTTTGTCATACTCGCTCCGCAGGCAGTAGGCGCTGCCGAGATTGAAGAGCATCACCGTCCTGGCGGAGCTAACTGAACTTGGGTAGCACTGGGGGGCCCGCTTCCCGGCTGCGGAGAGGAGCAGAGACAATGTGGAAGAGGCATGGTGAGGGCAGGGGTGTGACTCACCCTGCCAACCTCCAGGATCCATTCTGACACCCACAGCGCTGCTCGCCACACCCCCCGCCTGACCACGGAGGACACAGGGCTCGAGTCCCAATCCCCAGGATGCTGCCCACACTACTTAATGCTCTCAACGTAGAGACGTCTTACTTACAGGACTCCATTGCTTCATTTTCCCCTTTGTCTGATCCTACAGAGAAAGGAAAAACAGATCTGAGGGGATAGGAAAACAGCCTGCTTTCTAAAACCCTACTTTTCCTTATTAAGTGGAAATCTAATAGCAAGGCAGCCTGTCCGGGTTACTTTACACATGGCGAGGATTCCTTTGACAGAGTGACAAAAGGCTGCCCCCACCCACGGCAGGGAGAGAGCCGTCAGCCAAGTGCAGTCCCACCCCCTCAAAAAGCTCAGCTATGGTCTCACTTCACAACGCAGCACTCTCACTCCTCGTGGAGTGCAAAATCACTGCAACAAGAAAAATGCTTCATCAGAACCCAAACTGTCTCCATGCTGAGAGGTCCACTTAGCTGGTCACATACTCAGTCCTGTCCCAGAGGGAAAGCCAGCCTAAACTTCCTCCTCCTCTACCGCCTCCACAGCCCCCGGACCAGGGCAGGAAGGCAGTGGACATGGTGATGAGCCAGTGTCCTCGCTAACCTTGGTCTTGTTCATTTGAGGAGATTCCCAAGGAGACATCAGTGACGTTCTCTGGGTTCAGGTGCGTGATCGCATCAGATATCCTGTCCAGAGAGATGAGGGCTTCGGCAGCGTATAAATGACCTAGAAACCTAGGACAAGAAAGCAGATTTCAAACGGAGAAGTTTCTCCTCACTAAGCTACTTAATACACAATAACATCCCTTATAACATATACCTCAATGCATGATAACATATTTCATCCATATATTCAGTGCCTGACAACACTGTTGTTGTTACGTGCTGTCAAGTCAAGTACGACTCACAGCGACCCTGTGAACAAAAGATCTGAACCCTAGTCTATCCTGTGCCATCCTCATACTTCCTACAACAACATATTTCATACATTTATTTCAAGACTTTGAATTGAGATGTAAATTTATTTGGGTACAACAGAATAACATGGGTCACTGCAAATTAATTATTTAGAAACAACTCTGATATAAAAAGAATAAATTATACCTATCTATTAGCAGCTTTGCTATTTCATGGGTGGACCAAGAGCTCTGGGGGGACAGTCCATAATGAGTTGGGCTGCTAGCCCAATGGCCTCTCATCTCCAGCAGTTCAAATCCACCAGCTGAGCGAAGGGAGAAGGATGGACAGCCCCTCCTGTTCCTGTTTATACCCTGAGGCCCAAGCGTCACTGTGAGTAAAAAGTGACTGGATGGCAATGGGCATCATGGACAGGTGCATGGGCACCTTGGAGACACACCCCACGTGGTTCCTCCATGCTTCCAACGTGACAAAGTCTTTCACATCACACGATGCTACCTACCTACAGTGTCTTTATAAAGGGGGTGGGGAAGCAAGCCCAGGGTACGTCCCTGCTGACCATGGACCTGGAACAGCCTTAACAGAGAAGTGATCAGCTGCTATCTTAAAGGTGCGTCATCAAGGCCCGCTGCAACGTCTTTACTGATCGCTAAAGGGAGGGTCTGCAGTCATCGCGTGCAGATTTAAAGTTCCCAGAGAATAAACGAGAACCACCGGCCCCACCACCTGTCTGGTAGCGCCACGCAGACCACCTGTGCTGTGGATGCATTCCCATGTTAGCTCCGCACGTGCATCTGAAGGACGCTGCATCCAACTCAATTAGAGAAACGAAACGATGACGTGCTTTGGCGTTGGGAGTTTGAGAATGACAATGACGAGGCATGGGACACACATTTTTTTCACCAAATAGTAGTTGGGAAAATATCATGTTTGTCTATCCCAGTCTATTGGTCACGGTGACCCCACATCTTTGGGGTGGTGGGGGTGGGTCTCTCCTTAAAGCCTCATCACCTGGGCTGAGTGAGGAGGTGCTCCAGCCACGCCCAGCGGTGGCAGCAGCTCAAGGCTTTTGCTCCTAATCCCCGGCACAGTGGGTCCTAACCCTGGAGATGCAGCAGGGAACACTAGTTACTGCGAAGACACAAGTGGAGGCAGGTGTGAAAGCAGCTGCTTCTCCTAGACCGTGCAGAGACTAGTCATCTCCCACCCCCCACCCCAAGTCCACTCACGCTCATAGCACCCTCCCATCACCCATCTTTCTCCAGAGCAGCTGGTGGATTTGAACTGCTGAATGGTGGCTAACAGTCTGACATGTTACATACACTCTATGGCGCGTGAAGCTAAGTGGCAACTCCCCAACAGGCTGGCAGCCCCGGGCTCACTTACTTGAGTGATCCTGACAGCTTGGGCTGCTGAAGGAGCTTGTCTGCGTGACTCAGAGCCATCAGGTTGTCCCCCAAAGCCAGGGCCACGTAAGCGCTGCAGGCGAGTATGGAGCACCTGGAACAGAGGAAGGCGGGGGGAGAACTTGGTGACCTCGGCAGAGAGGCCAGGCCCCCTGACACAGCTGGGACAAGCAGGACACCAGGGAAGGGAGAGGAAGCGACACCACCATCAGGAGGAACCAGAACGGCGGATGAACCCACCACCTGGAGCTCTGCTTAGCTACTGCCCACATCACAACCTTTCACTTCCAATCAATTGCAGGTTCCCTGCCCCCACCAAGTGTCCAACACAATCTCTTGAATGACTATATATATTTATGTTGTGAAAAAAAAGGCAATTAATAGCAAAGGCTACACTTATTTCTATAGTATTTTAATATCCCAGACAAAAAAGCTAAAGATACAGATACTTTTTTCTATATATTTATGGTTTTCTTAAGAAAATTAACTTAGCTTAGCTTAATGTACTATTAAGTGCACTTGTTGGTGGTGTTGTGTTCTGTCAAATCAAATCCAGCTGGCACAGGAGTTTGCTCCTCCTTTTCGAGTGGAGCATCTGATGGATTCAAACCAGGAGCCTTCGGGATTGCAGCACAGCTTCTTGCCACTAGGCCACCAGAGCTCCCTAAAGTGCACTTTTTGTAAGCCTATTTATGGAGTGTATTTTTGCTCCTAAAAAAACCGTTCCACTCACACAGATCTTATTACACTAGGTAACCAGTTAAGAGGAAAACCAGGTTGGACAAACATGTGAAGACCAAACTGAACTTCCTCTTGATTTTGCTAGGTTGAGATAGAAACCTTGGTTTTTTTATTCGGTTTTAGTCTTAACAAGCCAAGCAAAAGGCCTGACAGTAACAGACGACCTGGGTGTTAAACGGCGGGTCCACAGAGCAATCTTACACGAATGCCCCGTTGGACAGAAATGTGGTTTGAACGGCTAACTGCTACGGACCTGATACAGGGCTGAGGTTTGTCTACAACACTGAGTCACATCACCACGTGTGTCCAGGCAGAAATTTTGGTCTAAGGAGGACTGAGGCCACCAGATCACCACAGGATTTACCACTGTTCTAAAATCCTGACGAGACGTGGCTCTTCCAGTTCAGGAAGGGGAAAACCCCAACAACAACAACCCCCGCGGCTGGGCAAATTCTCGTAGTATGATGTGCCATTTCCTCTTCACTGGCCGACTGCCAGCTGCTGGAATCTTAGATTATCCGCTGAAGGAGACACAGCATGGAAGCGGCGTTCTGTAGGGCACGAGGGAACCAACCACCTCTTAAGGCTGTTGGCTACATAAAGCATTGGGCCTATTCAGACTCTGGGGGGGTTCTCCCTCCTCCAGGTTTCTGAGGTTGTGAATCCCAACAGGAACCTGCTCCCCCTTTCTGCTGCAGAGAGGATGGTGGGTTCGAAGGGCTGACCTCAAAGCTAGTAACCCAAATTTAACCCTCTACCCCATCAGGGCTGAAACACGACCAATGCTGCTCCTTGTTCACTGAGTTTAGAACTGAGATTCTGGTGTCGAGCCTCTATATTGCGCTAGTCACACTCAACCCTGCAGACCACCGCTCACCCATCTATCACATCTCTTCTGTAGCAATTCTCAAGACCTTCCGGAAAATAAGGTACACAGAAGAGGTGACATTATGATTTCCTAAATTCCCTGTAGCAAAACATGGGCACTGTAACTCTTTTAAAAGGAGGAAAACAAAAATTTAGTCAGCTATCTACCATTTTCAGTGGTTAGCTCGGAGGTGAGATGAAAGTTGACTTGAGTTTCCATTTCTTCTTTTACTTTATTTATAGTTTTTCTCGTAAAGATGGCAATGGACATACATTCTTTCAGGAAGCAGAGTGAGGACCTTCGATGAGCCAGGCGTGTGATGTCTGTGAAGGAAACTAAGACCTTTGCAGACCTCGGTTTCCAGAATTCTGAGAAGACTGTCTGAAGCCTGCATGGGTGAGCAGTCACAAACCTTAATACCCATTTTTATCTCAACCTTTGTAAGGGTCCGGCCAGAAATGAAACCTTTACAGAGCCAGAGCCTGCATCTTTTTTTTACATAAAGATTAGAATAATTTTATTTTTTTTTATTTCAAATGAGTTGGTTTAATTCCAGGTGGTACAGAATTCTGGGCATAATGAAGAATGAAGATTCTGACAGGATTCTGGATTGCATTTACTTTGACTGCACAGACAGCTAAGATCGGAATGGCTGAATGAGAACTGGAGATGGACCATCATAAGGTTTCTTCTTCATTGTTTCACAAAGTTTCCTCTTAAATGTACAACAGGCTCCAAGACAACACTTCATTTTAACTACAGGTGGTAAAAGATGTTACAGCAGAGAATCTAGATGTTTTAAAAAAGAACAGAAGTAAGGTTCATCATTGCCTCAGCCTTATTTTTTTGCCAGATTTCTTAATTCCACCCGTGGCCAGAGGACCTTTGCCCGCGGCCTTCACTTTTAGTTCCTCGAGTTTCTTCTGTTCTTCTTTCTGTTTCTGCTTGAAAGCCTTCTCTTCCTCGTCCATCTCCTTGGTCTGCTTCTTGGGCTGTTTCAGGGGCTTCTTCTTACCACCTTTGCAGCCAGACATGGCGCCGGCTGCCCCCTCCCCAGCAGAATAATTTTTGACCTTGTGCAAACCCCAAATCAAGCCCCCAGCTTTCTGGTCAATCTCCCCTCACTGGACAATCTCCCCTCGAGGACAGAACAGAGCTGCCCCATAGTTTCCAAGGCTCTCCATCTTTACAGAGCAGACTGTCCCATCTCTCTCCCCGAGAGCGGTCTGTGTGATTGAATTGCCAACCTTCTGGTTAACTGCCTAGGACTGTTGCTACCAGGTTCCTTTTACAAGGGGTCAACCCAAAGACTAAACTCACTGCCTGAGAACTGATTAACTCCTAGCAATCCTCCATGGAGTTTCCTAGGATATAAATCGTCAAGGGGAGACAGCTTCATGGTGCTCCTGTGGAGTTATTGGTGGATTCAAACCCTTAACATTTTGATTAGCAGCACAACATGTAATGCACTCTGCCACCAGGGTTCCTTTTCAAGCCTCCTCAGTAGGTATTCAGGAGGTACTCGCTGAAGACCACAGCCGCCAGCCTTCTACATGTCTTCTCCTGACCCCCAGCTGTCCACGCTGCCTGCGGAAGGCCACCTGGCCGAGGGGGAGGTCTCCTTCCAAGGTCCCACAGACCGGGCGTCCCACATGCTCGAGCGCTGAGAGCAGAGCCCAGGGCCAGCCCACCTTCAGGAGCTCGCTGGGAAAGGCTTGCCCTGGCCTCTCCTGACGGTAGGTGGGCTGTTACTGCTTCAGCCCACTGTCAAGCCTGCTTTGGGTCCAGAAATCAGTCATGTAGATCGGCAGCAGGATTCTGATTCCCACGAAGCCCAAATTCTAATTACGGCTGAGAAAGTAAAAATCTGTTTTCTCTAACGTTTACCTCATTTACCAGAAGATATCACACCTGATCACCACGGGATGAAAGATCCTCATAATAACACTGGAGGGTCACAAGTGGCTGGCCTGCGGGTCCAGAGCCAGAGGGTTAATAAACAGGTCTCACTGCTTAAAATACAAAACTACAAGCCGGCGTTTCTGCTGCTCCTTCTCTTCGTGATTTGCAGTCTACCCTCATTCACCTCTCTTCACCCTCCCTCTCATCTCCCCTCCTCTCAGCAAACAGCAGCCCACTCTACACAAGCCTACAGGCTGGTAATACAAGAAACACACACAACAGCTCTCAGTACACTAAGCCTCCAGAGAAATCACTTTACTTCTGACAGCGCTGCCTACAAATACTGTCTCACTCCTCCACCACCACTTCGAGTCACTGTCCAATCTGCTTTTCCAACGACTCAGTGGATATGACAGTTCAGCAGACCGGAAGAACCAGACCTTGAGGAGGGCGCACTAGCCTTGCCCCCCTGGGGTGGGCCTGACAAACCCCACACTGTCCCCTTACACGCTGGAGGAGCTCAAGGCCACAGACCGAGGACCCGTGGAAAACGGGGGAGGGTGGATGAGACCAAGGAAGAAAATGTAAAGGGGGGAAAAAAAGAACTTTTCTTAATGCACTAAATTAAATCAACCAGCCATGCAAGACGACACTAAAATCTGTCACACCACATATCCTGGGAGTTAGGTTTATCTAAAGAAAATAACTGAAACAGCTTAACCTTTATTAAAGAGCCTAAAATGGGGAAAAATGAAGTCAGTTACCATCTGTCAGAGAAACTTACAAAATAACTTCACAGTGGACACTAATTTGAGAAATCATTTAAAATTTTTTTAAATGTTATTTCTTTCAACTAACTTAAAAAATAAAGTCTAGTAATTTAAAAATTATTGTTTATTATGACATAAAAATCCCCCAAAGTGTTTTCACTTATTTACCACAACCTAAGAAATGGCACATTTGTCACTGTTTAACTCTTTTTAAGAAGAATGTAAAAGCTGCATTGTTTTCTCTCTCGTCTCTTATGTCTTTCTTCCTAAAAGTTCCATGCAAACAGAAACTGAAAAACACATTCCAAATTCAGCAAAAATAAAAATCAAACACACGTTAGAGATTCTTCTCTGATGAATCTGGCATCCCAAAGAAGCCTAGCTACACCAACAGTGAATAAAACAGCCCAGGTCACAGCAACAGCAATTCTTTCACTTGACAGACGAGGAAAGGAGCGAGGCGAAGGCGCATGTCTGAGGTCAGCAGCGGCTCTGTGGACTCTCCACAAAAGAAGGACTCAGCCTGACCTATCGTCAGTTTGGTCATCGGTTCACCTGAAGGGTGGAGTCACGTCTGGATCATGCCAGGTGAACACAGACTACTGCTACTCCGGGGACAAGAGGTCACAGACACAGACTGCCTCCTTTTGCAGAACTAGACAAGTGTTATTAGGATCACAAAATTGTAAGACTAAAATGGGGGTGGGCGGCCACCTGCAAGAGTTCTGAGGGTACAAAGATTACCCCACACAGCCCTGTTTCAGGTCTACCTGAGGGAGCTATGAAATTATTATTGAGCTACAGTCAAAAGAA